TCAAGGAACACTGTTTTGGTCATATCCTCATAACCACTACTAAGATGTGATCTAAAGTAAAAACTCCAGGTGCCTTTGTGAGATAAATGTGAATCCACACTCACAACAGAGGTTTAGAAAGAATAGGTGACACTTACCTACTAAATGGAGTAGAGAGACCCTGCTTTTCCCTCAGTCCTCCTTCCCCGGGCCTTTTTTTATGTGTTGTGCAGGGTGATGGTGGAGGAAGTAGTGGAGGGTATGTTGCACTGAGCCTGGATAATAACTTTAATCCCTCCCTTCAATGCAACCTGCTCTTAAAACTGAACACTGATTTTCAGTCTGGCTATGATTAGTGTCTCCCTGCCTCCAATCTTTGCATTCACTCATCTTATATAGCACGTACTTTCCGAGTCCAGGATGGACTAGGAAAACTGCTTACGAATTCCATGGCAATAGTACGTTCTAAGCAATAGCAGGCTTTTTGATAAGACATTTGCCATTGGATGTGTTTCAATTTCCAAAAGTCAGGTTTCATTCCATAGCTTGTCGTACAGCCATAGAATTATAAGAAGCCTCCCTGAATTCATAAAGTCTTTCTTAATAGATCCAAACATTAATAAATGTTACCCATTACTCAATTTCAAATTCTAGTTCCCACTTTATAGGTAAATAAATGGGTACAAAGACAAAACTGATTTGCTCATCATCAGTCAGGAGTGAAATCTGTCTTAGCTCCTAATTTAGTGGTTTATATGCTAAATTACATTGTCTCTACAGCCCTCTGGGAACATAATCCTGGAACGTTGTACAAGCAAAACGGGCCCCAAATTACATTCTCACCAGAGAAATTAATTGGACAATTTACCAAGTGTGAAAATAACATTAGAATATTCTGCACAACTGACCAAGTACTTTCAAATAAATTCATTTAAAAAAATGTCCCATCAGGAAAAATAAATAAGATTAAAGTTCAGCATAGAAGATTTACAAAAGTTCAAAATTAGCTTAAAGTGAGGACTACAATTTGTCACAACAAAAATATCACAAGTTTTCCTGAAGAATTTAAGACAGCTTGATTAAAGTTGTTCAATTACTTAGAAGACTTTTTTTTTAAAGAAAAACTAAACTTGAAGTCTTATTAAAAGTAAAATCTATTGATAAAGCAGATTAACAAAATGTTATCATAGATTCTAAGTGGCGGATGTTCACTGTAAGTCTTTTCAACATTTCTGCATGTTCGAAAAATTTCATAATAAAGTGTTGGGGGAAAAAAAAGCAAAAAAAAGTAACCACCTAAAACTTACATGACAAACTACCAGAAATTAGTCAGCTTCAACCACTGCTTTCATTAAATGTTCATTATTACATATTTGAGTGTGCACTATGTGCCAGGCACTGGCCTAAGTACAGGGGATTCAGCAGTGACTAGAACATGTCCCTGTCCTGCATGCAGTTCACCTTCTCCTGGGGGCTGGCATAGAAGAGACTGTGGTGACTGTTGCTGTGGTGATTTTTCCAGGAGCAGTGCTGCACCTATATTCAGAGCAGAGAAGCGTGCCTGCTCCTCTTCCCTCTGGTATTAAAGGTAGGGGGTTCATGTCCTGCTGAGAAAGCACTTTGAAAGAGGAAAAGGAACATTATGTTTCCTGATTCCACAAAATGTTTTCTGCCTCTAGAATTATTTCTCAGAGTGTATTTCATAACCCGAATTTTGGGGGGGGTGGGTGGGTGCTGAGTGATTACCTTTCTGGATATTGGGTACTCCATTCTACAGACACAAGGCGGCAAATGTGAAGCTAACTACAATCTATCATGTGAATCTGGAATTTAAAAAGAATGTACTTCCAAAGAAAAACACAAATGACTATTTATTGTTTCTTTTTCATTTCCTTAACGCATTGTACTGCTTAGGCTCTATGGAACTAGGTATAAAAAAAAACCACATAGGAGTATTTTGAGTAGAACTTAAGGGCAAAGCCAAGAAAAGAGCAGAAGAATGTACTTCCAAAGAAAAACACAAATGACTATTTATTGTTTCTTTTTCATTTCCTTAAGGCATTGTACTGCTTAGGCTCTATGGAACTAGGTATAAAAAAAAAACACATAGGAGTATTTTGAGTAGAACTTAAGGGCAAAGCCAAGAAAAGAGCAGTGTTAGTGACTGAATAAAAGAAAAGTACCTCAAAGTCTTAAGTTAAAAAAAGCTCTCTAATAATTAAAAACGTTTTCTGGTCACCAGAGATTTTGAGGATTCCCTGGATAAAGGGATAACAAGCAACTGCTTCTCTGTAAAGCGAATGTATTCTAACTGCATGCGTAATTCATAGGCATGCTCTTAGTTTATCTGAGACTTACTGGTATAAAAACAGTAGTGGAGAACATAATTTTATACTGGTCACAAAAATAATCGCTAGAGAACATCCAACACCTCTATACTAGTCCATCATTAGGGTAAAAAACTCAACTTCATTCTATTCACTTTTTTCTACTATTCATCCCCCAAATAAAAGTTGAATAATATTGTAGTATAGCCAGAAACTGTCATGGCCTGCAACAAAGAATAGCAATAAACTACCAAACTACAAATCAATATCCAAACTTGTTTTCCAGTAGCAAAATGTATTGCAGCAAATTTCATCCAACATTGGGTTGAACACTTCTGAAAAAAGAGGAAAACAACTTTTATTTTTTAAAATTTAGCAATGTCCCAGAATGATGACTCTAATAAAAGGTGGTTAATAAAATATAAATACATAGTCTAAAGGCTTGTAGACCAACTGGGGGAAACTAGCATGCTTAAGAATGAGGTAGGAGATACAAAAAATATAAGGAAGAAACCAACTTTCCAGTTTAAGACTTGATTCTGAGTTGAAGTCTTATCAAAAGTTTTCTACTTTGGAAATACAGCTTGACTATTATTTTTACATCGTATTCACAGTGAATGACCAGCATAAAATAACTGGTTGGTTTATTACAAAATGCCAAGTGTTGGGGGTTAAAAAGTTGATCATTTTAATTAAGATGTGACTCACTTGATGGGCACTAAATGTATCAGTATTAGTGTCAGCAAAGAGAAGTTAAAAGCAATTTTCTACAGGCAAAATCCTTTAACAAGTATTGTCAATATTCTGCTGGTTAGAATTTAATTTCTTAAGACAGAATTTTATGGTTGGAGAGGACCTTAGAAACATCTAGTCCAACTCATTTTACAGATGGGCAACTTGATGCTCAAAAAAATTGAAGTTAGGCAAAAAACTATTATTTATTTTTTTGCAGCTAGCTGGTCTGGGGATCCGAACCCTTGACCCTGGCATTATCAACACCATGCTCTAACCAACTGAGATAACCAGCCAGCCCTCAAAAAACTCTTTTAAAAATTCCTGAATTAGGAGAAAAGAATAATATAACCAAAGCAGGAAATGACTCCTTTTAGCACCTAATGCACAGCCATGCTTTTAATAGAAATTTGACCAGTAAGCTTTTAAATATCATTTCCTTTTTTTTGTGGGGAGTTGAATGTTTCGTGGCAACAGTGAATTTTTTTTCTCTCATAAAAGTACATGTTTATTGTAGAAAGTGTAAAAAAACATAAGTAAGCACAAAGAATAAGCCATTAAAAAGTTTAGTATATTTCCTTCAGGCTTCTCCTATGCAAATACAAAAATAATTACTGTTTACTTTTTAAACTTGACAATTTTTTATTCATTGAAAACAATCACAGGAACAGGAGCAGTGCAGGTTTCCCCACTGAAAGAGTGGTGCTGCAGTGCTTCAGGAGCTAGTTGGAAAGTACATGTAAGGGACAGAAACCGCTAGGAAATAACTGGTAACCAGCGATGAGCCCGTGATACTGCCAGTGGCACAGAGCAACAAAGCTCTCTGCTTGACCTTTGTTTTCACTCTAAGACAAACTCATCAGAACAGGACCCTAAAGGTGGGGTGGGGAAGGAGGGTAGAGAAAAAAGTAAAAGGTCAAAGTGATCTTTGCTGGCTGCCTGGAACCGAAAACCAGACTCTTCACACAGACAAGGTCTCATGCCTTCTTAATATTAAGGCTGATTTTGAACCCTGGTCTGGGGCTCTGATTTCTCATTACCAGACAACTACATACATAGCATCATGGATCAGACAACAAGTTTACACTAAATAAGTAAGGTTACATTTAGGGTTTAAACCAGTCCATGAATAATATCCTTAGTAACACTCTGGGAAAAAATGGGGTGAATGAGAACTTAAAGCTTTCCAAGGATTATGGTTCAAATCCTCTGAAATCTATAGGAGCTAAAATAAAATGAGAACTCAACCCTCTAGAGTAATAACTCTTCTTACTGGTGACAGATCTTGGACATGGCCAGTGCCATCTTGGATACAATCAGTGTCATCTTGCATGGGCCAACGTCATCAGGGATGCAACCAGCACCATACTGAGCACAAAATGGCCACCAGTCTTTTACCGTACCTCGTGGTTTCCTAGACAAAGAAACTCTTCCACTCCCGCCTGGAGGTACCTCCCATCTTGACTACGTCACCCCTACCCACCACACCAGCACCAATCGTTGACCTGATCCCACACACCAGTATGCCCCCTCCCCGCCTCTGTTTTTTGCACCTACCAACCCATATACGCCTACCTACTCCCTTTAGCGGCAGCTGCCCCTGCCATTTTGAGCACAGCTCAGCAGGTTTTTCTTCCTTTAATAAAGCTTGAATGGTACCCAGCGATTCGGCTCATTTTCTTTCAGGTGGTACCAGCACGAGACAGTAGTGATTCTCACATTTAATATATTACATATAAT